AGGTTTCCTAGGTAAATCCTGAATGGATCCTATGGAAACAATCCCCTAGGTTTCTTGCTTAAGGTTTTACCAGTTTCCCTGCTCTGTAGACAGAGCATAACTGTGGTACAAAATTAGGGTCCAGGCTACATAGGGGCTTTACAATCCAAGGGTATGTCTACACTACCCCGCTAGTTCGAACTAGCGGGGTAATGTATGCATCCCGAACTTGCTAATGAAGCCCGGGATTTGAATTTCCCGGGCTTCATTAGCAAGTTCGGGATGCATACATTACCCCGCTAGTTCGAACTAGCGGGGTAATGTATGCATCCCGAACTTGCTAATGAAGCCCGGGATTTGAATTTCCCGGGCTTCATTAGCAAGTTCGGGATGCATACATTACCCCGCTAGTTCGAACTAGCGGGGTAATGTATGCATCCCGAACTTGCTAATGAAGCCCGGGATTTGAATTTCCCGGGCTTCATTAGCAAGTTCGGGATGCATACATTACCCCGCTAGTTCGAACTAGCGGGGTAATGTATGCATCCCGAACTTGCTAATGAAGCCCGGGATTTGAATTTCCCGGGCTTCATTAGCAAGTTCGGGATGCATACATTACCCCGCTAGTTCGAACTAGCGGGGTAGTGTAGACATACCCCAACAGATTAGTGTTTGGTTAGTCTAAAATGGGTGGGCAATAATTTTTGATGGGGGAGCCACCCCAAGATTTTGGAAAGTGGTCGAGGGCCGCACTCTTCCATGATATTAATGGAGAAGGTGCGAAGGTCTCCAAGAGAAGTCCAATATTTGAAAGACTCAGAGAGAAATATGGAACAAGATGCAAGAGTCCATAGACATAAATATTGCAAAGATTATAAGGGAACAGTTTGTTCTGTCGATTTCTGCGTTCAGAGGAGATAAGCAGCTGTATTTTGGAGAACATATTTAGGTTTGATGAGCTGGAACATAGATTATAAAAGCTCATTGCAAAAAAATGAAGTAACAATGAGCTCTCTAAAAACGGCATCACTGCTATGTTTGTTTTTACTATGTATGTATACAAATATTAGCAAGTACATACACCAAGAAAACCATCTGATTCAGGAATTTAAAGTAAGCCCAAGGCAAGAAGTTAGAAATGCATTTAATCACATCACCTGCACCATTCTTCCCCTTGCTGGTTTCCTGGTTTGTTTGCACAATATTCTAACTAGGGTTAAAAAAAGATA